TACTGCAGGACCTTTTTATTCCTTCTTGTCTTAAACTGTGAAGAAACTTTCACAGACAGGTTCGAGTGTGCTCTCAGTCCTTGAAGATGAACATAAGCCAGTGAAATCAGGAGGTGTAATGTGACAGAACTCAAGAGCACATTTGTCTGCCATGGTGACTTAGTCGAGTCATTAGTCATGTTAATGATCAACTCAGCCGTCTGCAGGTCTGACTTTAAACCCAGCTGCTGCTCAAACATGTCAGAGAGCTTATTTTGAGGAGTGATGGAAACCAAACCTGATTAAAAATGCATTTTCATTTTCATTTCCATGTTTTTATTTCTGTTATGCTCACACTGCCACAGCAGCACGGCATGACTAACCGTTCAAAATCATCTTTATCTATGTCACCCTGGGAGCAGCCCCTCTGTCTGAAACAAGCTGCTGGAGCTCCTTTCTTTGAAGGACAGACTGCAGGTGTGCTCACAGCTGGCTATATTACTGATATGACCTCTTTATGACATCATACAGATCCTATAATAGAAACAAAAACTGTGCACAGTGAGCAGGGCAGGCTGCTGACAGCTATGTTCACTACATCATTATTACAACCTCACACCACGTTTGATAATAAGAAAAACTTCCAGCACTGTACAGGAGATCCATGACAGCAGACTGTAGAATAGGCCAACTATGACGCAACAGGTGGTAATAATGAAGCGGATTTTAATAAATAATAATTACAACTGTAGTTTGTACTTTTATTCTTTTATAACTTCAGATGTTAAACAGTTCCAGGTAAAGAGTAGAATATGTTTCTCTGGTGTCTGTAAAGTACTGAACGGCTCGTGGTTCAGGCCAGCTTATCACGCAGTGAACTTCAGGAGCTGATCAGTTTATACCAGCAGAGGGCGCTCAAAGCACAGGACCGAGGCTACTTAAACTCTGCACAATGAAGCTGTGTGATCACAGAACACCAGTGTAGCGAAGCAGAGTCAGCCAATCAGGGAACAGAGTGTCAGACATGTGACCAGGTTTATACAAGGAGTAAAAATCTCACCTTCTCCCTGCTCGTTGGTCTCACTGACAAAAACGCAGTGAATCTCCTTTATGAACTGACCCGACAGTTTAATGTCCACGTCCTGCTGCCCGACCCTGGC